TCCCAATATCCCCTTCCCAGACTGTGGATGCCCACCTAGAATTAAAGCTGCCAGGGTCTCCTGTAATCCATGCTTGCTGTAATTCATTAGGATCTCTCTTTAGAAAACTCTTTGCAATGAAGTGCTCTCTGCAGCAGTGGTAGTTTTTAACATGTGTGCAGTAAAAGACCTGTGAACGCTTGCTGGGCAAAACTAGATAGTGTTATCTCTTAATTTCATAGTAAACCAAGCTATGATACGCTGTCAATGTGAATTTTTCTGTCAGGTGCCTCTACTTAAAAGCAGTTAGTTATGGTAGAAAATTATGAGTTCAGCATCTAGCCAGGCCATAAACAAATCATTCATACAACCTGTATGAAATTCTTCCTGACGGCTGATAAGAGGCCAGAACTACAACATGGATTAACTTCAGCAAGCAATATTTTATAACACATATTAACATGATGTTTTACATACAAGCATGTAAGTGAGAGCCAGTAATGTAGCCAGTTACTCTGACCTGACAGAGATTAAATGTTACAGCATCCCAAATAAACATGGGGACTATGGTTAGTTTGCAATAACTCGCCTCTAAATACAGCTTGCTGGGATTGCACGATAGCATCTCCCAAGTGGAAAGAAAAAGCATCTCCTTCTTACCCCTCTGAAGGGTAAGAACAGCAGGGAGTGTGTCAGTGGGGAGGAAAGAGCCCCATAATTTTGTGGGAAGTTAAATGAAAAGAAGAAAGTGAGACAAAGATACTTAGGAAGAGGCTTAATACTGTAACTAATTTTGCATATGGTCTCATTAGTAGATGAAGGAATTTGACCAACATTTTCAGCACAGGTAAAAATAGCAGGGAGGCAATAAGATGAGAGAGAACAGATGAAGAGAGACTGACCCATGTAGAAGAGGTAGCGCAGTTTTGTGGAAGAATGTCAAGGGATTAGAAACTCCAAAAGAGAGATGAAGAAAACCATATCCAAAAGGAAAGACTCCCTAAGAAAAGGAACAGTCAGTGCAGCTGTTAAAACTATTCACAGTGAACTATTACTGAACAAATTACCTTTTCCTGGAAAGCAATGAAGATATATAGTGTCCTTTTCCTTTAACAAACACATCGCAAATAAATATATAAATCTGAATCCTCAAATGACTTCATTTCTGGTATGTGCATACTACAATGAGCTTACCAAGAGAAGATGAAACTCAATTTTCTGCCTCAAAATATACTTCTTCTTTGACAGTGGACAGAAGTTACTTCATCTTTCTCTTCCTAACTTCCCCATCTGTAAAATGAGAATAATGGTACTTTGTTGCTTTACAAGACCATTGCGAGGATAAACACTTTGAGACTGTGAGTGCTCAGATACAGTGATATCCTGAAATAGATGAATATAGGGTATTCTTATTAAGCCTTCTGCACCAAAAGTGAACATCCTACAGCTTTTACACAAAAGAATATGTACTATTTTCTATTCTACTGTTCTAGTCAACGTCTCTGCCTGCCAGCTTGATCTCAGAACCCAGGTGGAAAGCAAACTGATAAGTAAAATCTACGTTAGAGTATGCTTTTATACCTCACTCACTTTGACAAAAAAACCCACACAGCCCTTGGTCAGAAATGTTAGATAATATGTCAAAAGAAACATTAAGTAAAAGAGGTTATGACCAAAGCTTCCACCACAACTCAACTAATTGATTTCCAAAGCATTTGCTGAAGTTCAAAATTGTGCAACTATCTTTATCTTTTTGTCTTTTCCATCTTCCTATATACTCTGCAAATTTGTTTTATTCATTTCCTCCAAGCAATTATTTGTTCAGAACAAGGCTGTGTCAAAAGAATCTCATTCTAAATTGTTATCTCAATTCAGCCATGTGGAAATAGCTCTTTTTTTCAGATTTGAGCTTTCACCGAACTTGAATTTCAAGCTTCGTAGTTACGGCTCTGTGTGATTTTTGTCTAGTTCAAGTTCCGTCTTTCATTCACAAGCGGAGCTGAACAACTCATTGTCAACAAATAATGAGTCTAGTGATGTGAGAATCTCAGTTTACAGAATTTTTGAGACCAAATACAATTTCCTCAAACGTACTTCTTGTTCTACCATTGTAGAAAGAACTATTTTGGTCTCTAAAGCTTTAGTTGTAAATGCCATCCTGTGAACATCCTCACAACTGTTTAATTTACCAATTATTTCAATAAGTACGTGTATAATTATCTATTGAGTCACTTTGTAAATAAATACTTAATATTCTAAAGTGAAATTTGCTCAGCTATTATTGGTCATGCTTGGGAGTTATTCCAGTCCTTGGCCAGGGGAGCAAAAACAATTGTGTAGCAAATATACATTTCTGTTTCACTGAATACATTTGCATCAGAGTTTGAATTTAACTCTTTTCAAATATTTGTCCCTATAAAGTTTGCTTATGGAAACAGACAAAACCAAATATACAACTAACTGCCAAAATTTGCTCAAGTGTTAATTCATGGCAAAAACATACTTTTGCTATGCCCACTTTCTAGCATGCAGCTATACACCCTCAGCCAAGCAACAAAGCCTTTCATTGACACTGCTAAGGTCAAAATCTTTCTGACTAAATTATATATTTTTTTAACAGCCTCCTTCAGATGGACTAAGAAAGCTTGTTAACTGGTTCACATAAGTCCAGGTGAAAAAACTAACCCAGTAGTCCAGACATATATGTTTCCCTTATATATTAGGGGATATACATTAGATCCTGAATACCTATCAGCATTATACTCCAATATGTATTTATTTTACTGGCTCAAGTTAAACAGCTTCTGGATTCTTGATTATATCATATGTTGGACAAAACCAACACACAAAGAAAATTGCTATCATTACTAATATTCCACAGAACTTGCCTTCACATTTAGCTGGAATGATACCTCCTCTGAACATATGCCAGTTGCGCTCCTTTATTTAAATGTTACTGCTTGTTTTTTTGTTTGTTTGTTGTATTTTGTTTTAATGTACATATTTTTAACTGGAAAACTAAACAACAGCTGTTATATCCCAATTTAATTTATGTAAAGCCTCATTCTTAAAGGGTTTAGTCAATAAAATGAAAAGAAATCTTAGCACTGAAGACAAATGCCTAAAAAGAAACCATGGCGCACAATTTTCTTAAAAAGGAAAACAACATAGCATTCCTCCAACAGAGTTTAGAGTCCAATTTCCTGGCCTTTCTGCAAAATATGTACACTGAGATATTAAGAAACACAGAACTCCTTGGTAATGTAAACAATTAGTTTTAGATAGCTTTGTTACAATTACAATTAACTCTTGTTTATTCATGGATGGATTATCCAAGGTTGTGGTCCGGCTGGGTCCCGCTTCCCCACAAAAGCCTTTGGCCGGCCACCACTCATGGCAACATGACACAGAGCCCCAGCCTTTGCATCAGTCTCTACCCTGCTACTTGCACCGTATAGAGGAGGTTTAGGACCAATCAGATCCATATCTCTACCAAAATCTCTTTACAAAGGTGAATGTATATAGCTTGTAGCTAGCCCAATTTATATGGTGGGTATTATCTGTGTTTTCACTTTACACAGTTTATTTTCTACTAGCCCAGAAGATTAAGAACTCACTGTGGCCACTTTTTGGTTTTGAACATGAATCTTCAACAACTTCTGTACAACATTCTTTTTTTCTAGATCAACCCTCCAAAACCCTTGTTCTTTTTTCCAGTTAACACACTTTAGTCAAGAAATTAAATCACTTCTTTCTCTCTTTACCTTCATACTTGTCACATTAAAGGAAAAGATCTATTTTCTACTCCTCTTGTATACATTTCATCAAATTCTTTCATCACAGTTGATAGTTTGGGGAGAACATATACTATCAGAGATGAAGAAAAACCTGTGGAAATCCTCACCAAAATTTTGATTTAACTATAGCTCATAACACAGGAGAAATTTGGGGTGAAGGTAACCTAGAGAAATTGCTGCAGATATCTCCCTCGCAAGAAGAGAAAAAATACTGCGCAAATTCCCTAGCATAATCAAGGCTGTTGCTATGCACGTTCTCAGAGATATGTCAAATAGCCAAGTTCTCTTAACACTTCCTGAAAGGTTTGATGTGAGCTTTGGGAGAAACATTGCATAGTTTTTACCTTACATGACTCAGTTCACAGCTCTTTGTTTAATGGCACCATCCGGCCAGCAGTACTGTGGTTGTCCTTTAAACAATTAACGTTTCCAAGGTGTGCTCAGACAGTAGGGTTGTTTCTCAGTCTTGATTATAGCAGGTGAATTGTCATATATCAGATAGCACCACGTGGTAGCTCTGGATAAAGGCTAGGGTTTTTTAACAGTACCTTATTTTACAGCTTCACAGGAGAAATAAATACCCTGCATTTGCAACCTGAATTTGTGCACTTTAACATGCTAGTTGTAGATCTTGAGGATATTTATTGCTTAGGTAAAGCAAAGTTTCTGGTGTAAAGCCAATGGAAAGCTTACCTGAGATGTCATTACCTTTACCGAGCTGGCCACTGCTTCAGAGCAATCCTTCCCACTCTCTAGCTGTGTTCCATATACAAAAATTAAAGCAGTAATCCAGGAACCTGGAACATGATTAAAAAAAAAAAAAGACAGCTTCTTGATAGCAACAATTTACAAGTTATTTCCTCTTTGATTCAGAAAAGAAATTTTTACTTTTCACTGAACACCTGCTGGAAGAGAACCTATGCCATTAACTTTCTAAACACTCACTCAAGGACTGTGATCCTGCCACGTTTCTGTTATTTAACAAACCCACAAACTTCCTCAAATATGCTTCAAGTGCAGGGGAAAAAAAAAAAAAAATCAAAGGCCTGGAGATCAAACTCAGTTTCAGCAAGTTGCTACTGAGGGACTCTCTGGCTATGTTTGTGCTTTCTGGCGGGTGTGCTACTTGCACAGCCTGGGGTCACGTTGCCCTGATGATCCACAGAGGCACCTGGTTGAGGCCTGCCACAACTCCTGTCTGTCCTGTGCATTTGAGTTTTCATCACTTGGATGTCATGTGCCAGCAGTATGGGAGCGTGCTGGTCTCATTGAGAGATGGCATCAAGTTTTGGCCAAGACGAGTGCAAGACCTGGGAGCTGGGAAGTGCTCTCAGCTTAGACAAATTCTGGTATGAGTACTTCCACTATGTCTATTTGTGGAAGCTCCAACCCAACCAGAAATAATCTAAAGCAATGAAAACGCACCCTAAAATCTGCAGAAGCAGCAGGATCTGTGAAGGAGACTGTCATTTACATTTTTGGTGTGAGACTGCTGGAGATAAGAAAGACATAATAAAGTTATTGCCAATATGACCCATGGGAGTGCTGTTCAGCCACATGCGCACAGTTTAGAACCCACCTACCCAGTTTTAGACAACATAGACACATAGACAACATAGGCACATAGAAGAGCATGTTACATGGACTGAACATTAATGCCTTTCTGCTGGTGTTATGGGAGAACTAACTCTTGCAACAGTGGAGGAGAAAAAGCTATACTAGTCCCTGGACCCAAGTGCAAGTTACAGCTCCCTTACCTTAATCTGTGCAAGCTGGCCATGATCCCTAAGGGGCCTCCACCAAGTAGAGATTGACCTATTGTGTGAGGCTCCAGGGAGAGAAGAATCAGTGCCAGACAAGGCCTCCTCACGACAGTCTTCTGGTTCCTGTTTGGGGATACGCAACAGACTTAATGCATTAACTCATGAAAATAATTCCTCTCTCTATGCCTCAGGTGCCCTATTCATAAATACAAATGTTTCTTTCGAGCCAGGATTCATTAATATCAGTAAAGCACTTAAGAGTTTGGATGGAAGTGTTTTCTCTATAAATATAAATACAGGCCAATAATATTGCACACTGAGATACCATTCCTTTAAGAAATGTAGCTAAAATTTCTGGGGAATCTGTATGCTTCCAGAAATTTCTAAAGGGCTCAGAGAGCAAAGGCTATGAGCTGGCTCTGCTCCATTAATGTAAGCCTTGCTCCATTAATTTTTGTCTCACATTAATCAGGCAAATTATCAGGTCTAATTATTGCAAGACAACATAGGACATGTAACCCCAAATTTTCCTTTCTGAATGTTAACAGTAACAGTCCCTTTTGCCAGAAGCTCTTTACAAATGCACGCTAAAGAAAACAGCACACTAAATTAAAGAGGGCTGTTAGACACCTCATAATATTAATTGGCATTTTATAGCTCTTTATATGTTCAAAGCAACATTCACAAATCACCCAATTAATCTAAGCTGTTTGAGTTTCTTCTGCTTCATCATTTCAGTCAGCTCTGTGCCTGGCACATGGTCCAGGACCCCTGTGCCAGAGGCAGCTGGGCAGTAAAACCTTTCACATGCTGACCAGCTGCCTCTAGCCCGCCAGGTTACATGTGAAGGGAAGAGTCCACAGTATTCAGTCAAGCCAAAGACTACATCCCTAGCAAGCTCTTGAAAACACAGACTCTGACCAGAAGTCATCCCTCCCCAGGCTATAAAGCAGTACTGCGGCCTTGCATGTCAGACAGTTAAAGTTTGCTAATTACCCTCACTGGGTACATGGCACCTGGAGTAGGGAACAGGCCATAGCACTGCATCTGCATCGCAAGCCAATAGGACATGGCCCTAGCTGAAGGGGAATGTAAGAAGAGAAACTCTTGTCTGAGTCTCAAACTCAACAAGTAGGACAGGATGGGAACTTAATTCCTGCAGCAATCCTCCAAGGCACCCCATTCCCACCTTCGAGGTCAGGAAATCTAGGCCCAAATCTGCAGTGAGGTCTAAGCGACTTGGTCACCAAGAGCGAAAACAGAAGGGTGCCCAAAGCAACGCAGTGGATGAACTCCTGGTTTCCTTCAAGTCACTCAAGGCATCACTGAGGGATGGGAGATCACTCAATCAGCAAAAAACCATGACCGAAATTCAGACCCTGTGAGGCCACCCACAGTCTCCCCAAAGCTTTGCCACCTATCCCTAAACAAAGTTTCTTTTCCTAACGCAAAATACAATTATAAACAGGTTAAGCCAAACAAAGCTCAAGTGTGCTCTCTCTCTCCTCTGGGGAAAAAGGTAAGAGGAAGGTTTTCTCCATTCTCTCAACAGACATGTTTGGGCAGCTACATGGGTTAATGCATATGGCTGAACCACTGGGACTGTCCACACGGGAAAAGCGAAGCAAAAGCTTTTAGTCCAAACCTCAGCAGAAGAGATTCGTCCTGCCAATGAAAACTTTGATTAATGCAGCCTATTATCTTTCCTCATACCCCCATTTCACTGCCAGCAAGGCCTCAGTTTGAAGTGTTAGGTAAAATCTTGTGATATGTTACTGATCTCTGGTTGACTCTATGTTGAATATACAGTCATGTTGAACATACAGCTAAAAAGAATTCCTCTTTTAAAACAGAAATTATTTAAATAATTGAAATGATAGTCCATTAAGATCAAGGGTTAAATTGCCTTCGATTTTTATGGGATCAGTATTTCACAAAATGACATATATTAATCTAACTCTCATGTTTCAATGACAGAGACTAGCTAAAGTAGAAACAATTTATCTCAGATCTCTAAAGATTCCTTAAATATGCGCCCCCAAATCCCCCTTTCGTGGGTTCTCACATGAGATCACTGTGATACTTCACCTATGTCTGCTTTAATCTTACAACAGTCAGGGGTAGTGCAGAACTCTACAGTGGAGGTGGGGTTAGTGTTTTTCTTAATTAAACCTAAATAAACTTTGACTGCAGCGCGATCAGTTAGGAATGTCTAACAAAGGCATTTAAATGTCCTCACTCATAAACAACTCAAGCTGCACCACATTCAGACCTTCAAATCAGACACTCAAAGATTTCAGGGAGCGCTTCAGTTACGACTCTGGCTCGGTGACCTGGGCTGCAGAGCAGATCCCAAACTAAAAGGTACATTTCCTGTGTACCAGCTTACACCACGCAGAGCCAGCATTCCCAGCGCCTGGCACATAACATTCCAGAACTGAACCCAAATCCTAGTGCCGGCTGAGTGACGTTATGCCTAAATCACAGAAGGATCTTACGTATCTTGGTCCATCTCCAGAAGTAATCATATTAGATGAATTGCACAAACCATTCTTTCGCAAAAGATTGAAAAAGATAAATGTGCACGAGTTTGAACTATTTTAGCCTTTCTTCTACACTTTTACCTATTTGAAAATCAGTGCTTATGCAAACCAGTTTAACAGACCCTACTGCATTGTTTTTCCCAAACCAGCAGGACTCAATTTGACAAAAAATTCAAAAAAGTCTCAAGCTCTCCTGTTTATGTCAGTGTTGCATTACTATACCATTGTTTTGATTCACTCTTTGCATTTTCATTCCTTGACAGTGACTTCTTCCAAATATACAAACACGTAGGCTTGTTGTTTAAAAAAGCAAGATTAAATGTCCTTTTTGGTTTTTTTTTGCCTTTCTCTCTCCTTTCCCCATTCCGTCTTCTCACCAAACAAATAAAAAATCCTCAACTCAAAGGCTCTGATCCTGCCTGCAGGAGCATCCTTGAAACTGCTGGCGGTACATAAAGTGAAACACCTATACAAATCTTTCTAACACTGGGGACTGAGTCCTCTCTAGTCCATAGTCTTCTCTGGCTTATCATTGTGTTGACCACAGAAAACAGTGTAACAACTTGAGGTTGACAGGAGCACAGCTGAGCAACACTATTGGGGCCTTTCGTAGGTTTTAGCACAGCGCTCAGATGCTACTGTGGCGAGGGCAAGATAGATATTTCTGCCAGCTTGAAGGTAAGCTATCAAAGGCTTCTCACCAAAACACACTGTTCTTCACAGGGCCTCACACATAGTACTAGAAAGTGCTTGTCAGCCCTCTCCTCACTCAAAGCATTTTGTGCCTAACACTTTCCTTCAGGATATTCCTTACTCCTCATCCCTGATTGGAGGTACAGGCTCATCAGTTCAGGAGACTGTTTACCAGACACCACTGGACAATCTAGAGGAAATTCGGGGAAAAAATAAATATATATTTTTAGGTCAAAAGTAGGTTTGTCCAACTAAAGCCTGATAGTAGATTTGCCTACTAGATAGTGCAAGAGCTCTTAGTTAAAATGTACATGCAATGCGAAACCATGCTAACTTGTGTTTTCCCTCCAAATCACTCTTTTACAGATGCCACTGATCTTTGCAAAGCAGAAAGGGGGGGAGGGGTCAAACACGTAGGTACAGCCCCGATGCAAAAGGTCTAAATCTACTGAAGTCAATGGGACTTCACCCATTTACAGCAGGTCTAAACCAAAAGGAGGAAGTTCAGTCTGCCTCTTTCTGCACTTTGTATGATCTTTAGATAAACTTTAGCTACATGTGATGAGCCCCTCATCATGCTGACAAGAGCTTCATATTCACTATTCAGTTAAATATAAAATACGTTTATCTCTTAAACCTTTATCATTCACAATTATTCCCCAGGGCACAAGAGATAATGAGTCAGCGGGCACAGATTTAATTATCAGTTTTTACTGTAAGAAGATGAGGTTTATTGATATCACTATCAGACAGACACTGAAACGAAGCAGATGTTAATCTGAGGTTAAGCTCCAGGAGGCGCCTAGCAGTCTGACCAAAGGGACTAATGTTCATCAGTTAATAAAAGAGGAGAGACTTCCTCCTCTCCCTCCCTCTGGAGGCCTGCACAGAACTCACAGAGCTACTGCCTTGTTTCGCAAACTCCTCCTTGCACTGTTTCCAACCCATTCAACAAAAGGCTTGCTTGTTAATGCAAAGCTTTCAGTCAGCTCCAGTGGACTGTTTAACCTAACATCCGATTTTGCTTATATAGGAACTTTGTGGTTGGTTTTGGTTTATTTTTCCCCAGGATATCCTAAAGGATGATAGCAGGGAAGTAGAACATACAAATAAAGTGGTTACAAAGTTGCTCTGGCATCATTGTTGTGAGGAGAAAGTGTCATTGATTCCAATTGCATCAAAAACAACTTTAAAGAAATCCATACCACAGCAAATCTCTGCTCTCCAACTCAAATGTTACTACATAAAGGAAAGAGACTTGCAGTAGGGAAGGAGAGGATGATGAAATAACCCAAACTTTCTAGGTTTCTTAGCTTGCTGTCACGTTCTCATGTGGCTAGCAACAACGTGACAGACATACAGACAGTCATATATTTTACTAAAAAATACAGTGGCAGCTGACAGTCACTGAAGTATACTAATATTTCTTATGGAATTAGAATATGCTATAGGACTAGTGAGTTGCTGCAAATGATCATTTAGATGGGTAATTTTCACAGCTATTTCAGTGGTACACTTTTTTCCTACTAAGAACAGCTTCCTTCTGTCAGCTTCAGTGGAGGATGAATGAAAAATTCTTGGTACTTTCTAGATAACCATTAGGGCTGCATTGTACAGCATGCCAGACATTTTATGCATGGTGTTGTTAAAAATGTTGTTTTTTAATTACCATTTATGGGTAATTTCTCCAGAACAGCTAAGGCATCTTTAAGCCATACAGTGTTGTAGCACCATGCAGATTCTCCTGCCTTCTCACAATCCAGAAGTGGCACAGTCTGGCCTTGTGCCCAGGCCTCCCACACAGACAGAGTTGCTTTGCTTTGGACCCAAGTTTCTCTGGAGCTGGTAGTGAACTGGTGAAACTGGCTGCTTCTGTGCTTGACACTGCAGTGCACAGTGCAAGAGCAGGGCACCAGAAGTCCCAAGCATCAAAAGAACTCACTGCCTCAAGAGATACAGACAAACGTGAGGAAAGATACACAGATAAAACACTGCATTGTCCAAAATAAAAGAGAAGTAAAGTGGCTCACCTGGGACCAGAAGAGAAAGTTTCTGGATTATATTTGCGCATGAAGTCCTGTAGGCCATATTTTCTGTGTTAGGGTCAAAGTCAACGAGAGTTTGACAGAAAATGAGAATCTTCTCAAGATTCTGCTCTTACCACCACTAGTGACTTAACAGTTAAGACACAGGACCCTCAGCAAATTTACATCAGTATATGCTTAAAATGATTTAAAAGGCTTGCTTTAAACTACCAGGAGGAGAGATTTAAAACCACTGGAGACTGACAGAGTTAATGAGGTGGGGGAAGGATGACCTTTTGTTCCAACTATAGAGTGAGAGAAACAGAGAGAGACAGAGAGAGAGACCAAGCGTTGGAATTTCAACATGCAAGAGTAGATCATTTGCAAGAGAACCACGCTTAATCTCTGTGCCTAACCAAGGTGAGTTTGTGGTTTCATTTCAGGCCCTTTTGGACTGTTTTTCATGTCAAAATTATATAGTGGCTATAATTTGTCTCTCTTCCAAGATTTACTGAAACAAAGGAAACATTTGAATAGGATTTGAGACAACTTCTTTCTCACCCGTCAGAAAAGTAATCCCCAAACTTCAGATAAATGCAGGCATGTGGTTCCCAGTATTCTCACTCCATATGTCTTCACAAACACCAAATAGATCTAATTTAAGAGGATATTTTTTCCCCACAGATCAAAAGGTTATAGTGATGGACCTTCCCCAGGATGATCCAGACTTTCATCCATGTAATGCCTTCATTTCCACTCCCTATAGAAAGATGGACTTCCTGGCACAGAAATCAGGAGACAGGTTGTAGGCACTAACCCATTCCAGCTCCTTGCTTCTCAGTTATTTCAGCTGTAAAATGGAACAGAAACATAACGCCTAATTTAGGACTTGAGCTTTACAGGTGAAAAACTCTACAAAATTCTGCAGCATTGCCACTTTGAAAGCTAGCCCTATTAAAGGTAAGTTTTGTTTGTGCTTATGCATTCACATAAGGAATTTTGCCAGGACAGCTGTTTCATCCACAAATTCCATTTCATGGCACTTTGACCACTTCTCAGACAGTAGGCTTAGCCCTAGCTTACCCCAGAGATGACCAGTTTCCCCTGCTGTAAAAGGCAAAATAGGACGAAAACTGGAGATACCAAGCTCAAGCTGACCTGAAACAATCAGAGCATCCCTACTCCTCCTATTTGAGCTATTAGGTCTGGCACTGGCATGAGCAGGTCAGGCTGGGAGAACAGCAGCTGGAATGATGGCTGCCATAGAGGCTCCACCAGTGTTGGCTTGGAGTGTGTCCTTCAACTTTTTTGTTACTTTGTTACTCTTGCTACCTGGCTGGATACCTTCCCAGAGGAGGGAGAGAGGAAAAAACAAACCAAACCCAATCAAAATGAAAACAAAAGAACAATTATTTACATGCCATTTTCCCACCGGAGAAGGATTTGGATGTGCAATTACTTCTTTCCACAAAAGCAAACGTTGAGCTGGACAAGATATTCCTTGAAATCCCACTCACATGGTGATGCAACATTTTGTGTGTAACATAGAAAAGTCTGTGTGACACACTGTGGCACTTCTTTCTACCATGAATGGGCAGAAGTAATATATAATGCAGTGGCATAAATGCTGACAGGCTTTTGCAAGACTGTTTATATTTATTTTTCATAGCCCTGAGAAATCGATCTGTCAAGATGTCCCATAAGAGACTGCATTTGGCTCTGAAATATCCTGAGAGACTGTTTTTCTCTTGCACCTGACACATTTTACAGAGGGTATCAGCACATGGATTTGCACCTCTGCTGTGTCATGAGCAAAGAATTGCAATTGTTTTAATATGCTACACTGGGATAGTTAAACATTGATATTGCCAGGTACTACTTTACAATTCCCATTAGATATGTTGTATAGCTCACATTTATGAAATAAAATATTGCTGTATTCACCCATAAAACTCTGTGTTATAACAGTACTATGCATCTGGTTTTAATTAGAAGTCAGGAAATTCACAGTTATAGCTGGAACTCCATCCTTCCCTAAATCCATTGTGTGTAAATTCTGCAACTCACATGTGAACAGATTCTACAGTCTTTATAAAGGCAAAAAATTCATTGCTTGTAACTGAAGGCTAAGCACAACAGGTATAGAGGTTTGGAATCTGGTGATGTTTTGAGGCACTCCACTTTTTTTGAGGCTTCCTGACAGAGTGACTTAAACAGCAGGAGTAAAGCAGGACAAAGAAACAAAGCAAACGGTATCCATCACTGCTAATAGTTTTCAAAATGGTGTTAGTTTCATGAAGCAGGCATGTTTCCTAGAGACAAGACCTTGACAGTCAAGTTATATCTGAGAGTAGGTTAGTGCTTGCCAAGATTCAGTTTTAATGAATTTACGCTTCTTTGTTCTAAAACGCAATGGGGATTTTGCTGGTAGAATACAATGGGGATTTAGCACCAAACTTACATTCTGGTGTAAATCCATTTAAAATTGTTTTGTTCATGAGTGAAGCAAAAATTCAGAGGGGGAAATGAAACAAATGAATATAATGCACAAGGGGGCTGAATTACTGTGGCATGAGCAATTTTAAACATAGCATTTAATAATTTTCAATTGACCAGCTTTGCTAGTAAATAAACAGATTTTCATTTGAGGGCTTTTTGTGAGTGTTATACTATGTATTTAACATTCACTCATTCTTTCCATCTTTTTTTTTTTTTTGAGGTTTTGCTCTGCTCATACCATCCAGCAGAGGCATGCCCTCAACTAGAAATGTGAGCAAAAATAAGACCCCAAAACCCTCCCCAAGGAAAAAAATGGAGTTTTAGGGTATAGAAAGAAAGTTTTAATGAATGTAACATTTCTAAAACTTAAAAACAATTTGAGAGTTATGTGAAACCACAAGCTCCAGTAGGGTTCACCAGATATTTAAAGGGAACCTTGAAAATTCCTTTCAGCCATGATACCATACCTGCAGATGACTCTCTGAAGTTTACCTAGACCCTTGGGATCTGCAAAGTTCTGCAAGATACTGATGGATCTGGAATAAATAAATAAATAAAAGCTGACACCCTGACAGATTGTAGCTGTTACTAGGAATTATACACAGATTTACCAGGCCTCTTTAGTTTTTGCAGCGCTGATTGTATCCACTCAGCAATATGGTGATGTTGCTGCAAACTTACCATCACTTCTCTTTTCAGCAGCCAAGACGACAAATCATACACTCACAATTATATTTGCCTTGTAGAGTTTTAAAGAAAAATGTACCCTGCAGCTCAGGTTATGAGTAGATGGATACCTCATTCATCTAACATCTGAAATACTGATCAGGTCCCTTTCACCAGATAGGATGAAAAATGCTAAATTAAGACTAGCGAGTCACACAGCCAGCTAGATAGTGTACAGTAAGTAGATACAGTTCAGATAGGTAACCCACAGAAGGCTATTGATATTTGATGTACATTCTCTCCCAGCTTGAGTGCAACAGTGGGGAGGTGTGTAAAGTGCTATCCAACATGGATATAGGTTGCAGAGGAGCTCTATCACTGCCTTGCCCAGAGCTATCCCTCTCCTCAGCTATCTCCTTACTCCGGGCCTAGAGAACACTTCAGAGGTTGGCATAGATGGGTGAACTGATCCCCCAGAAGTACACGGGCCACATTCAACCACAGGCTGGGCCAAGGATGAGACTCTTCATCCTTGGCAAAAACCTAGTTCTTCTGAACACCACATTCAATTTTGTGATAATTCTCTGATATATTCATTGGCTACTAGTACAACATTAGTTCTGTTAAATCCTTAAACTGCTTTATTACAGGGTAATGTAAAGACAGAAACACAAAAACATACGTACAAAAGTACCACAAAATATTGCATCAGATGTGGTAATTTCACAGAGGGAAATGATAGAAAGAAGTCTGTAAAGAAGAGCTTTCATGAATTTATGCCATATGAGAGGTGATTTAGGTTTTGTCTTTGGGAAGTCCGGTTCCTATGAGTCCTTACCTTTAACAATTATTTCTTCATTCCCTCTCTCTCTTTTAGAGCATTCACACAAGAAATAAAACTCCCTGTTTCATTCTTATTTTTATGATGAGGAGGTTTGAAATCTAGATGCTTCCTTCTGGGCCTTTGTTTGGCTTCTATGTTTTTGAAGAAAAAGACTGTGGACTTGTTACCTATGCACAGCATGCAGGATACAGCAGGTAAATGCAAATGCTTAACAGTGCACTAAATATGACCCTTTGATTCTGCAAATGGGAGACAGAGAAATATTACATAGATTACAAAGCCATCTAAACGTAAGGTTGAGTGATTTGTAACAGAATAATGGTGAAAGAAGTAGCAAAAACCAAACCAGAAGAAAAAATACACATTAAACTGGAAAAAGGTGAAACATGAAATCTATCCCTTTTCTATAAACACATGTGGAAAGAATAACACCTAACCTTTTTATTCTTGACTTCTTTTTTTCCCCCCTTTACATTCCAAGAGAAGATCTGCCAACTTTTGGCCGTATCCATTTCTCTTCTGTTGTTTGCCAATATTAATGCACTCTAACACACATTCTTTCCTAAGACTTCAAAAAGTGTCATTTGTTAGGTCTAACTGTTTAAAGAATCAGCCACTTTTACCTCCTTCGCTCACCGCAAGCTGGGTGGTATACAGCACATTCGCATAACTCAGCTTACGCATTACAGGTTTGGTTGAAATTTTTAATTGAAAAGACTCTTGAACCAGGCTTCACACTGCAGGCTTTGTGTTAGTGTAGATCAGAAGACCTTGCACTGATACATTAGAGTGCTTCTAATGCCCTCTTCATCCTAAAATATACACTGCAGCAAACATACCTATGTTTTGCTTATTGAAGCCTCCTGATGTAGAGCTTCAGTATTTCTGTTCTGTAAAGCATTTCTAAAATCTTTGAACTGAGTCTGCTTATCATTACACGTATAAACAGAGGGGGAATTCACCTGTATGTGAGAAATTAGCCCAGTTTAACAGTTTTAGGGTTTAAGCTGGACTTCTATGGGGAACAGGCTGTAGACTGAGGACT